AGAGAGAGAGAGAGAGAGAGAGAGAGAGAGAGAGAGAGCTTTCACCACAAATCGTTTTTTAAAAAACCTACGTGGAGACTTTTTCAGCCTGTTCGATAGTTTCCGGCAGTTCTCGGCCGGTTGTTTCCGGTAACAGGAGAGACAACAGACCGGCAAGGATTGTAGTACCACCAAATACTATGAGAGCCGCGTTCTGCCCGATCTTTCCTTCAAACTTGATCTCATTCTGAAAAAGAATTTAGCATGATCCAATAAAAATGTTGATTTCTCTTATTTTCTCTCTTTTTTTTTTTTTCAAATTCTCATATTTGCAGTCTGAAACGGGTGGAGCAGTTAAAGGAAATGAACTCTATATTGTCCTTCAAGCCATATTCGTAGATTAAAAGAAAACATTTTTATTGAAATCATCACTCCTGTTGTTAACGTTCGAATAAGACTTTGGAAGGGAATGAAAAAAATTGGAATGAGAACAGATTAACTTTTGATATCTTTATTATTAGTTTGTAGGAGAGATACACCTGAAACAATTTGTCACAACCAATGCAATCTGTCACATCTAACGCAATTAGATGCCACGATCACTTGACTCTACGTGCCCCCCCCCTTACTCCATTCAACATCGACATAGCAAGAGTTACTCATAAACGATGAACAAAAAAAAAATATTGTTATTTTGTCACAACAGTTTTAAGTGTGGCATAACTTAAAGATTAAGATTAAGGAAAAAACGTTTTGAATTTTCCATGAAAATTTCTATCCTATAATATATACATCTAAAGCGCATTCAGTGCATTTTTAAAGTCCCAACTAACACAATTACTAACTCAACTAACGCAATTACTCACCGCAATCACCGGGGCCAGCATACCTCCTACTCTGGCAAATGTGGAGCTAAATCCCATGAGGCCGTTCCTGACCACGGTGGGGTAGATCTCCGCCGACCACACATAGACGATAGCGAAGGCCATCGTGGCACCAAATTTACCGGTCATTGAGAGACACACGTTGATCCAATTGGTACTGGGCGCGTCTAGAAAAAGCACCAGTTTTTTCTTATTTTTCTTTTTCATACACTCCTTAATTTATTTATTAATTCCTACCAGTTCATTTATATAAAAAAATAAGAAAATGAAATTAAAATTTTTCTTTTTTTTAAATCCAATTGACGTTAATTACAAAATCAATAACAAAACTGATTTATTTTTACACAAACAACTTGGCTACGTCTATCTGTAAAAAATGTATCATATACCGTAAAAAATATAAAGTACATGTATTACCATGGAAAAAAGGCAAAATTCCATAAACAAACAGATGGGGAAAATTGGATAAATCTTTGCCTCACCTGGATCTGCGTAAACGGCCACAAAGATGCTACAGAGACACGCCACACCTCCAAGAAGCATGCTGCCGCAATAGACCGCCTTTCTCCCCAGCTTGTCTATGGTGAAACACGCGGTGTAGGCGGGAAACTCCACGAGCGCGGCCACCAGGAAATTCAGGAAGATTGAGCCTCCCAGATTACCGCTGTTCAAGCTCAGGCCGTAGTAAACCATGCTTACGATACACCTGCAACGTGAGGAGAGTTTAAAGGCAAATTAAATATTAACAAACTTAGGTAACTGAAATGTTCATATATGATATGAATGAAATATGATATTAATATACAGTAGAAACAGTACCCATCCTTAAAATAACATCTGTTGCATGACTTATGAGGTTACGGTCTCACTGATCTGACATGTTGCTTACCTATGTCACCGATTTCATCTAGGTTAACAAGATGTAAATCATTTTAAAATAATCTTTAAAAACAGACGGAAAAAAGTAATGATGTCGGAAATTTGATTGGATATAAAAACACCAACGATTTGAAAATTTGGAAATGATGCTGCTTACTTCATGTATGACGAAAGAAAAGCTGGACCCTACGTCACATACAACGCATCCGCAAAACAAAGATCGATAATAAAATAAGTCAAAATTAAACTGCAGCTTACCAGTTATAGAAAATGATCGCAGTTCTGCACAGCAGTTTAGGAGCGCGAAAGATATTCAGCAAACTCGAAGACTGGACTTCTTCGTCCTCGGACACCTGACAATGACCAACATGTGCAGTAGGTTATAGTATATAAATTCAAAGTTTGAACAAATGAAGGTTTTTTTCTTCCTGGATAGAAAGAAAAATATAGTAGAGTCTACTAGAGTATCGATAGTACATGTTTATACCTATGTAAATGTGCTCCTCTAAATTGTTTAGTATGCATCGTCATTTTGTGAATTTATAAAATTGCTGTGAGGTCAAAGCACGCAAAAATGTTACGTTTATTTGCACTTTATTCGGGTACAAATAACTGTTAATGAACACTACAAAGGTTATAGAATATGAATGTTAAGTTTGCGCGACAGAAATTTTATATCCTTATTATATTCTTCCTGGGTGAAAAAATTGCATTGTCCAGTCAACACGTCACCTACATCTGAACCAGTTCACAATTTCACGTAGACTTACCTGTTCAAGAAATTTCTCTGGTAGATGGGCGCGGTTCACTTTGGCCGCTTTCCTCAGTATCTTGGCGGCTTCTTCATGCTTACCATTCGCCAGCAACCACCTTGCTGACTCGGGAATCAACCTTTGGATAGAAAAAATACAATATTATAGCGGGAAGTCAAAAGGAGATACACACTTTCCAGTCTTTATATTCTTCTTCTTCTTATTATTATTATTTGAAAGACATTTGCTTGCTTTATTTAGTTGTATTCTGGACTTAAGTAGACCACTGCAGTGTTTATATTAATTTCTATTACAGACCCGATTTTGTTAATCCTTTTAAAAATTATTTATTTATTTATTTATTTATTTATTTATTTATTTATTTATTTATTTGGGAGGGCAAAGGGGTTAGGCCCATTCCGAGCCTAAGTCCTCGCCCAAAATATCCTCATGACGAACAGTTATCATGACACCCAGTCATTATTCATGACAAACCGCATGACGAATATTACATACATGTACTTACCACCAATAAGATAGATACAGGAAACTGGGGATAGAAATGGCGAGCTCAAGGTATTGCCAGTCCCTGATCAGGTAGCCCAGGAGGGCGAGGATGATCTCTCCCAGGGCGAAGAAGTACATGTTGATGAGACCCGCGTACATTCGTTTAGAAGGTCCGACCAGCTCGACACCTTGTTCAAGAGAGTAGTTGGGTGATGAAAATATGTAATGGGGTGTGCAATTATTTATTTATTTATTTATTTATTTTGCTTTAGTCATATTCTTAAATGCATACGCATGCATAGAGCATGAGACCTTTATGTATCAAAATTTTTATTTTCGTTGTGAGAAGGCCTTATGCACACTGAATGCATTTGATGTACTCTGAGTGACAGTATGCTTGAGAAAATGTGATATATTTGAAACTGAAAAAAAGGTTGAAATGAAAGAAAACAGATTTTTCAATACTTTTTTACGAAAATGTTCGAAATATTCGAAACAGAAACAGAATAATAAGAGCGCATTCTCAACGAATTAAGCCAGGCTTTACAAAGCCGGTGACCTAAAAATGGCGGACGTACATGAAAGAAAAACCGCCTAATCTTTTAATAGTCTCTCCGCCTCTCACACGCCTCCCCACACGTCGTCCCTGCGGGGTACAGTAATTAAATCTCGGCTCCGAACATTAATATTTCCGTGAATATCTCTGGTGATATTATCTCCTTAGATAGTAGATTCATTGCTGCTCTACGGGCCAAATTATTCCTTTTTCGTCTCTGTTTTCAAAGATAATAGAACAGAAGAGCTTTTTTCCTTCGATCGCCTTCAGCCGCCATGCCTTCTTCACCACGAGTTTAACTGATGAGCATGCGCACTTAATATATCTCAGGTAGCTTCCGCATGGCGAACGGAGCCGAGATTTAATTACTGTACCCCGCAGGGACGACGTGTGGGGAGGCGGAGAGACTATTAAAAGATTAGGCGGTTTTTCTTTCATGTACGTCCGCCATTTTTAGGTCACCGGCTTTGTAAAGCCTGGCTTAATTCGTTGAGAATGCGCTCTTAGAGAGAAAAAATGCCGAAATAGAGGAAATGTAAGACTCATTAAAGACTTTTTAAGGAAATTTGGAATATGCCCTCTTTTTTAATCACATTAGACTCTCTGGAAAACTCTTACCTAGCACAAAGGCGCACATCATGACCCCAGCGTTCGAAAAACCGTCCAAGAAGCGAAAGAAGACGAAGCTGTAGTATTCGGGTGCGAACGCTGCGGCTGTCCCCGAAAGTCCTTGAAGAAGCATGGACACCAGAAATGTCAGCTTACGGCCCAAACTGACAGCCAAAATAAAGGAAAAAAAATTATTTCCAGTGTTGGTCAAAGTGAAAAAAGATAAGAGTGAATGTAAGAAAAAATAGAAAAAAAGCAGAAGAAAAGTAAAACTAAAAACATGGCGGATGCAACGTATCCGATTCAGTTTTGCATAGCATAAAAAACATTAACTGTGTGATGCACTCAAAGCTACAACATGTTTCTTAAACAAAATCTAAAATAAAGGATATCAATTTTTTGTTTTTAGCTATTCTTTTTATTTTTGCTATTCACTGTGCTCAGCTGTTGTTTGTAGAAAGAAAATGAAACTGTAATATTGTACAACAATGTCAAAACTTACTAGTCCGCCATAAAGCCCAGTATGAAGGCTCCTGCCAACACTCCGCCCATGAAGGCGACCTGAGCCGGGGTGATCTTTTCCTTGTCCTTACATACCAGGTTGAACTGAAATTTTTAATTGTTATGATATTCAGTATTGTAAAATTTAATGTTATTGCGTATTATTATTTTTTGATGATATTCAGTATTGTTAAAATGATGTATTTGGGAATGTTTAAATACCAACAAAAAAGAATATGGTTTAAACTTGAGTGACGTATAACGAGGTCTCCTGCATCTCTTTTCAGAAGTTTGTGGACTTTAGATTTTGTCTTACAATTTTTATCGAAAATTGCTGGGGCATAAATTACCCTCTACCAGGGCCACAAACATGTACACTCACATCAGTGGCAAACGTCCTGGTAAAGATCGACCGATCGTACACCCAGCTGTCGCACTTGTGCTCACTCATGTTACCGGTGTACGCCAAGGTGTGATTGGCCCAGATGGTACACTTGGAGTAGTCGCCGTCAGATGTCACTGGTATCGTGGCCTCAATCAAGGCTTTATGCCAGTCTCCTTGGATTTCATACGTGTCGTTTTCCAATCCTGGCAGCTGGCACCTGTAGGAATAAAGAGTATAAATAAAAAGAAATTAAATAAAAATTTTAATTTAAAATATGCAGAGAATATATTAATTGCCAGAATTTTTTCTTTGAAATGTATTTTTTCAATATTTTTGAAAGATGGGGCAAGCTTTAAAAAAGGGTTCTAAAAATCCAAAGAAAAGGTTAGAAACCATATGCTGGAGGCTGAGACAGTACACAGTCTGAATTGTCTGAAAATGCATTAAAAGACAAAATAATAGGTCCATTTGGTCGACACATGCTTATGTGACGAAGTGCTTTAGTAGTGTGACGTCATGGTGTGACGTCACTCACTAAAATGTCGTAGCCTACCTATGAGGTGGTAAAACTTGGATGAACACGGATACCAGCATGTGAAAGCCCGCAGAAATCAACGGGATGCAGATGATGATGTAGTTAATAATCTGGAACCTCCCAAATTCTCCTATCTGCTTGAGTATGTCGTCAAAATGCATCTTGAATTTGTATGACGTGATTAGGATGACGTAAGATAGGCTGAAAAAGAAGAGGTCCGGAGGTAGAAAAATGGCTAGGGGTCAGAATGCCTCTGCGTAACATATAACAAATAAATAGAAAAATAAAATAATGGATAAACAAATGAATAAAAAGTCGATTAGACGAATAATCAATTGAATTAAAAATTAAATAGATTAATAAATAGATAAATAAATAAATAAATAAATAAGTAAATAAATAAATAAATAAATAAATAAATTGACTTTTTAGCATTCTGATATAAAGGTGAATAAAAATAGCCGCAATAGCTCTAAGGGTATATCAAACAGATATTTCACAAAAAGGACATAGCATCAAAAGAAAAATTACATTAACTCTGAGAGCACAATTCTTCAACCCAACACTCGGTGGACCAATATAGCGCACTACATGGATACAACAGACAGAAATAACTAAGACGCACCTCTCTCTCTGTTAAGACCATTACCCATACTTACTGACCTCAGACATACGGTAGCTAGACCCTACTTGTTTTGGTTTAGGACGTTTGTTATTGTCTAGGTGGTGGATTGACCTCATCAAAGTTAGCGTGGGAGCAACTGGGGCTATCGGGTAATTAGCCCTCCAACTCCACCTGCCTTTCACACACACAAACTCACACACACACACACACACACACACACACACTTTTCAACCACATCAGTTATAAGTAAGCAGGGGGGGGGGGGCTGGACCCCCTCTCCCTCTGTCGCTATTTTTGAATGGTAACCCCGCTCCACTACAACCCCACCCATCTTAGAATTTGTATTTTACGCGCCTGTCTATGGATATATATATAATTTCCACGTATAATTTCCACGTTTCTATTCAAGCACTACTTTGCCATCACGTTGAATATAATAAAGAATACAATAAAAAGGCGAAGATTTTTTTAATTTTAAAATGAAGAGAAAACTTCAAAGGCTTTTCTCCAAGCTTGCGGGCCTATCTATAGGCTACATATTTCACCAGAAATTGAGATAGGGAGAATTAGGAATAATCGTATTGAAGGACACTTTATTGGGATAACGCTGGGTTTTGAGCGCGTAGCATAAAAATCTCATGAAATCTTCTTTTCTGCATGGACCAGTGGGTTTTTCATTCGCGTTTTCATCATTCTTAAAAGGATAACAACTCCTTGTATGACTTAAAAATCCACAATAAATACATTGCAAACAACAGCATAGGAATACAAAAATTTCATTTTACCGTCAAAAGGATGGTTATTGCGCTTATTCTGAAATCTGTGTTTGCCAGCGGACCATGTGGACCTTTATGGGTGACTACCCTCCCTAAAAATCTTTATATAAATTATTAAAAATATCCAAACCAAAAATAAAAAACGATTACTTTGAATGTTGGAACGGATTCATTAACCATTGGTTAGTATGGGAAAAATCCATGCATGGCACTTTTCCCGCTAAAATGAACTGTTCTTATGCCTTTCAAACAGAGGCTACATTTACACATGTAGTCTCACTCCGAGAGGAAAGGGTTTGATAGGGACCAAAATATTAGAGTGGGAAGACCGCCAGGTTTTAGCTATTGTTCGACAAAATAATCATCGGAACTGTGGGTGCAAAACACCGCTGATGAATTTTCTTGCTGGCAATAATATATACATATAGGGTTATTCACCGTAACATATGCTTATCGTTGCTGTCCAGTGAATCGAAGCCGATTTACATACAGGCAATACAGCTTAAGTGGACTGGAACGCACTTCAGTAAGGTGAAGCCCTTGTCAAATTCTAGTGTGTGTG